CTCGTTTTTTTCTCTCCCTCCCCTTTGTTTTTTTCCCTCCTTTCCTCTATCTCCACCCCTGTTTTTTCTCATGGATGTCTGACTTGTACTTCTCCAGACTTATGGTTTGCTGGGTAATTATTACGACTTTTTTTTTTTTTTTTTCTTGTATATGCTAATCTGTGTGTGTTGCCGGTCATCTACTCTCTTGGGTTGTCTCTTCCTTTTTTTCTGTGCTCGAAAGAAATACCTGGGGTGAAGTCCCACCGCCCAAGTTAGAAAACGCAACCGTGTGACACCATTTTGACATTAATAAATTCGAAACAAGAAATTTAAAAAACTGAAAAAAAACGCTAGAAACAACTTTTCTCCTTATTTTTGATTACGTAACTCGGAGAAATGAAACACGTCTGGCACAGTTGGAGTGAATGTCTTCGTGGAAAAAGGATACTTCCCGTGGTGAGGGGACAGGAGGTCACCATTTGTAAAATGGACAGGGACAACATGGATGGCCAGATGCGTTCACTGCCCAAAGAAGGAAGAGAGTTTGATGCGAGAGAGCCAAACACAGTTGTGGGCTTCGGCAAAGAATCTTTTTTTGATGAAGAACTCGAAAATTGAATACTATGCTATATCAGCCATTCTAGCTTCGTAAACATAGAGCAACTCCTACCCCTCCCTATACCGGGACATTACTACTCAAAGACAGTACTGACCAGACCAACATCATCCATAGCTGACCTCTTCTCACCACCAAGACTATCCCCGACCCCATAGGGTGTCAAGGCGGTCCCCACAATTCGCCACTGGCTTATCTTCCTCCCTCGGCAAACCCCAGAGTGTGGACTTTGTCATTACCAGCGTCATCATCTCAGTGTTGCTCGTCATTATCACCATCTGTAGCATCACTATCATCATCATTATCATTCTCATCACCATCACCCTCATAAAAAATTTCCCTTAACTGCAATCCTCATTAGTGGGATGTCACTGATATCATCTGCAGGCGAGCCTCCTCGCCAATATCATCCTTAAAATCTTCAGTCTTAGGGTACTGTTTTCGGTCACCCATCCAATCACAAGTCATCAATATCATCATCGTCATTACCACCATCTGTGGCAGTATCATCGATATCATTATCATCATCATTACTATCATCCTTATAAAAATCATCATTAATCCAATCTCTCACTAGGGGTTCATTACCGATATCATCTTCAGGTGAGTTCGCTCGCCAATACTCTCCTGATAACGTAGGGGTGGCCAACCTTAGGGAGCAGGTTAAAAAATTCTCGATCAAACAAGCGAGGGACCGTAAGGCCACCTTGGACAACCTACTGCACACACTCGAACAGTGGGACCAAAAGCTGCTAGAACAACTGCTGGACCCCCAAATCTTCTCTCAACTCCATGAGGCCAGAGATCATCTCCAATCCCACCTTGACCGCCAAGCAGAAACATGGAGAATCCAGGCCCGAATTAAAAAAACAGACACAGAGGCGACGATGGCCAGAGCCTTCTTCAACAAAGCCAAGACTAGAGCAAGACAAAGCTTGGTACCAGCGCTTCACCATCCGTTCGACCCGCACCAGCCAGATGCAACGAACGCCTATGCGATAGTGGACTACGCAACGCAGTATTACCAAAAACTCTTCACCTCTGAAAACGCACAATGGGGCGACGACGCGCTGACCGAAGCGAGAGCTACTATGCTACATAACCTGTCAGCCCTGCTCTCCCAACAGCAGAAGGAGGCTCTAGAAGCGCCCCTCTCACCACAAGAGATCTTCGCAGCATTAAAAACCATGGAGGACGAAAAGACCCCAGACCTGGACAGCTTCTCGAAGGAATTCTGGCTGCACTTCTGGGACCTTCTCAGCCCGGATCTCATGGCATACAAACATGCGGCCCACCAAGAAAGCCACTTTGGACACCTCATGGTCAAGGGGTCACCACATTGCTCTACAAGAAGGGAGACCGAGCAGAAATTAGAAACTACCACACGATTACACTACTCCCCCTCCCTTACAAGATGGTGCCAAAGGCGTTGTGCAACAGACTCCTTCCCTGTATGCGCCACCTCATTCACATGGACCAGACAGGATTCATGCCCCACCGAAACATTCAAGACAATGTCCTACTGGTCAATGAAACGATTAAGTACGCAAGACAGACACAAGTGCAGGCGGCAATCTTATTTATTGAATTTGAAAAAGCATACGGCCACATTGATTGGTGATTCCTGGACCAGTGCTTGGATAAGTTGAACTTTGGCCTCACATTCAGGCGCTGGGTCCACACACTGCACCACTCTGCAGCAACAAACATCATGCTAAATGATCACCTATCTCCACCCTTTCCTTTGGAAAAGTCTGTGAGACAAGGGGACCGGATTGCCCCCCTCCTCTTCGTTATAGTAATGGAGACCTTGGCAGCACTCATTCAAGCCAACCCCGCTATCGAGCGGATCTCCATCCCCAAGCTTCCCGCACACAGAATACCGGTCACTTCATTATCCGTAGACGACCTTACCGTTCTCATCAAAGCCTCAACCTCGAGCATGCAAGCCCTGGCACACACGATACATGTTTTCTCCATAGCTGCAGACATGAAAGTCAATTGGGGAGCAAAAAAGGAGGGATGGTGGCTCCACACTGCAAACCTGCCTCCACCTGAGGAGCCCCCAGTCAACTGGCGAGCGAAGGAGGACGCCATCCGTATCCTGGGAATCAGGCTCACAGCCCTGAGCCCTCCCAAAGACCATGGGGACCACTTGGTCCAAAAGTCAATACGGGCAATGGCTAAGTGGAAAGGTCTGCACACCTCCATAGTTGGCAGAGCCCTTGCCATCAATAACGCAATCTTGTCAACCATCTGGTACAAGACAACGTTTTGGACCTTGCTTTCACATCAACGGATTCACCTGAAGACACCATAGCAGCATACCTATGGAGGAACGACCACAAGCTAAGATCCTGCATTAAACGTGTGGCCTGTGCCCAAGTGGCCCAACCAAGAGTCAAAGGTGACCTGGCAATTATAGATCCAGGAGACCAGATCGAATCCCTATTATTCAAGATAATAGTCAGGCTGCTAATGGCCGATGACATTCCATGGGCTCCTCTGGCGCATATTCAACTGGCCTGCTTAGCGTCTGCATCACCTCACGAGAAGCCAGTCCATCCACTGGCCTGGCTCACAAATCCGGCCTGGTCCATACCTACACCCCTGAGGACAGATGCGGGGGACAACCACGACAAGCCGCCAAAGTAGATCTTGCCAATGACCCGATGTGGACCTCCTTGGTGGCCCTGTGGAGGGACATAGGACATATAAAGTCCCCGCCTCCACCGAACCCATAACGGCCGGAGTTTTTGTCGCCTGCTGCCATGGCCTCCTCCCCTTGATGCCTTTTCCCGTCCTGATGCACGACGGCAATTCATTTCCACTGAAACCCTCGTTTCGGAGTAATCCGACCCCCACGGGACTTCGCGACGACAGTTCGACTCCGAGAAAAACCTCGGCCAAGAAACGAGAGCCTCCCGTTCCGTCCGGGAGACTCAACCCTTACGGCCAAAAATCCTCGGCCACGCCCCTCCTAGAACTCTGATCGGCGACCCCGTACGGGAAGCTGCGAGGGGGCGTGAGGTTGCTTATCACATGCCGGCCGGTCCCCGGCGGGGGACCAAGGTGCGAGCAGTCCGTGACACAGCGCCGCCATCCGCTGTCTTAGCGGGCTAGTCTCTTTTGACTTGAAACACTCTCGTGGGCAGGGGTAGATCTTTGAATTAAACTACCCAATCCCCACCTCTGACCGTTAGGCCATGTTTAAGGCCAAAGGTCCTCCCTAACGGAATTGCTTCAATTATGTGTGCCCTTCTCTGCTCCAGGTCCCTGACATTTTTTAGCTGTGTTCTCAGCTTGGCTGGGGTTTTCCATGTGCCTGTTTCCAAGTCCCAGAGATCACCAACTGAGGTTACTGTGTAACATCCTTTTTTTTTTCTTTTTTTTTTCCTCACCCAAGTTAGCCAGGGGGACTAGAGTCCTACCCCTTTCGTCCCTGAGGGTTCCCAAATAAGGGCTGTCTCCACACCTCATGCCACCTCACCAATGTGGGGCTCTATGTTGGTCCTTTCCTTCTCCACAATTGCAGCAGCGAGGCCCATAGGGGGTCTATTTGCAGATCCCTTTTTGCTTGATTTGCTGGGGAGTCGTCCCTTNCATACCTAAAAAGGTACACGAGCCATCTGTAGCCGTAGTTTCCTTCCACTCAAGCCCATAGTGCTCTGAAGGAGGAGGTAATTGCCCCCATGAAAGAACATCATCAATGAGGCGGTAAGTGAAGGCGTATCGCTGAGCAGCTTGGGGATCATGTTGACRAATGTCATCAATAAAGCGTGCTTCATCCCAATAGAGCGTTAGATTGGAAATTTCTGGGCCAGCATTTGTTCCCATTGGAATACCAATGATTTGCTTCCGAAGAGTGCCATCTCTAGTGTACAGAAAAGTGTTTTCTACAACAAAGCGAAGATGTTGGAGAATCTGAGAAACGGAAAGGCTGTCTGGTCCTGAATCGGTTGTCCATTGGCCAGAGCAAGGCCCGCGAATGAACATGTTCAAGGCTCTGCAGCGCGAATGCATGCGGGTATGCTGAAGAGCATAAGCATGAGCTTCATCAACAGCCTTTGCCACATTATTCAAAATGCGGTCATGAGGAAGGTTGGTGTACATTGTGGTGAAATCAACCGTGCGAGGAGAGAGGCCAATTTGACGATATATATATGTATCGTCACAAACAGAACTGCCCGGTGAACCGTAGGCAGAGAGAGAGAAGAGGACAACAAACGAGGGGCTGTGACAAACTGTTTCGTCGGAGAATATATATATATATATATCATATTGCATATATATATCGTCAAACAGAGCTGCCCTGTAAACCATAGGCAGAGAGGGAGAAAAGGACAACAAACGAGGGGCTGTGACAAACTGTTTCGTCGGAGTTTCACCGACTCATATACTATATCTATGTATTGTCAAACAGAGCTGCCCGGTAAACCGTAGGCAGAGAGCGAGGGAGAAGAGGAAAACAAACGAGGAGCTGTGACAAAATGTTTCGTTGGAGTTTCACCGATATATCTGTGCAAGTGTGCCACTTCCGCGGCAGATGGGTGTGTGGGCACTTCCCGCTCAACCACACAAACGTGGGGAACCTTGCATTTTGTATTACATCGCCCGTTTATACTTCTTTTGTTTTATGGATGGTTTGTGATGGCTTGTAGATGGACACACACACACACAGAGAGAGAGAGAGAGAGAGAGAGAGAGAGAGAGAGAGAGAGAGAGAGAGAGAGAG